ATATGTATATATATATAAAATTTTTCCCATTTAGCCTTTATTTATACAGGTAGTCTCATTGAGCCACGAGAACTCATTTTCAAGAGAGACCTGTTTAGGTAGCACATGGTGGGGTTAAGGGCCTTGCTCATGGGCCCAGAGTGGGGCGAATGAGGGTGGGGGCAAGTGTGGGTGTTTCACCTACCTCACCCACAATTTTGATGTTGTCGGGGCCGGGGTGTGAACCAGCGATCTTCGGATCACAGGCCCACCTCTCCAACCTCTGCACCACCACATCCCCACATATATGTGCCACCACATCCCCATATATATACATATATATATATATATAAAGGCGTTTTAAACCTTTCCCACTTGCAATATTCTAAGCAATGTTTCTAAACTCTAAAAGCTTTAAAAGAGCACAGAATGTCAGGATTTCCCTCTTCCTGCCTCTGCTGCTCAGCCACCTGCAAGCGTTATTGGCCACGCCCTCTTTTCCGCTCTGCACTGAGTTCAGCTGATCAGCTGCAGCAGGAAACGTATCCTGCAGTTTGAGCTGCACAAAGGTGCAGGAGGTGCTAAACCATTTAAAATAATATATTTTAAATAAAAATTTCATGCCGATCGTGCGGCTCTTCCATCAATCAGTCAGTTGTGTGTCATGTCCAATTTTATTTTGAAAAACCGCGATAGAGCGAGTCCACGATAAATGAACCGCAAAATAGCAAGGGACTACTGTGTATTTATATATATATATATATATATATATATACACATGTATCTATATTCTTGTTTCTCATTAGCGGCCCCTAGTGTTCATGAGGAGAACTGCAGCAGCACTGATGTAAACAGCAACAAACACTGAAAGTTTTCTTCATTTTCATCATAAGAATCGAGAAATATTCCTGAGAAATGTTTTTTTTTTTATTATTAAAAATGTAGAAAACTCATTTGCTGCTCACTGCTGAGAGTTTTAAACATTGCTGCTTGAGTATTTAATTTAGCAGTTTTTTACGTAATGCTCATTTATGGTGAGTGAGCAATCTTGTTATGTTAGATGGTTAAATATGTAGACTAGAACAAGAGTGATAATTGAGATAGAATCCCTAATTTGTTTCGTTGTTAATAAAATGCATTATATCCCAGTGAATTGCATTTCACTATGTTCCAGTTGAAGTTTTGTATCATGTTAGTGTGTTCTTAATTAAGTTATTAGCAGATTGTCAAAATCATACTTGCCTCAGACCAAAAAATATGCACACTTCATTATATATAAATCTGCACAAATTATAAAGTTAAATAGTTGAAAAGTAAAAATCAAAGAACATCGGACCTCATTCGTGGAAGTTTGTTAATGAAACTAGTCTGAAAAGTACTTTTCTTACAGACACTGTGTCTATTTGTTTATTGTTAAAGGTAAGATTCCTAGATGTGCTAAAATAATCTGATTATGGCCAAATATATGTATATATAGAGAGTAATCTATGACTTTTTGCAGCTGCAAGCTGGTGGGGACAAAAGTTTCAATCTCTGTTTTGAAAATCTCAGATAAGACGATAAAACAGTTTAAATTTCAGTCGAGCAGAGGATTTATATCAAACTGCTTTTCATGGGTACAAGTATGTGTTTAGATGTTAGGCAACTATCTGAGTCACAACTACTATTTCTGTGCTGCACTGAGCTGTAGAGTGTGTAAGTGTGTGTGTTTTGGCGCACACACTCTCACACAGTCTGGTTAATCCCAGAGCGGGGCTGGTAGGCGGGAGAAAGACGATCTGTTTGTGTGCGTGCCGGACTCTGGAAAAGAGACAGTTAATGCCGTGGAGCTGGACTGGGAGCTGAAGGGAGGCTGGAAGTCGAGGAAAAGTTTTCTCAGTGGTGAAATCCCCCAATCTGGTCTCAATGAGGTGCTTTAAGGCAGGAGGTGAGTGTTTGGCTCTCAGAAGAGAGGACTTTGCTGCTGTTGGAGTCGAGCCTGGAGAATAGGTTGGAATGTGTCCAGATATCTGTGAAGTGTCTCGTGTGTGTGGGGACTCGAGGGGGAGGGGTGTCGTGGCAGAAGGAGGTGAAGAGAAACACAGAGGTGGAGGGGAAGGGGTTTCTCTGTTGTTTTGTGGTCGTTGGAATGTCTTTTCTTTCTTTCCGTCTAACCGCCTGCATGCACTTGCTCTCCTCCCCTCGATGCTTCACCTCTCTGCACTTCATCGGTAGGTTTGGATCTGCTGCACCTCTGAGGGGAATAACGCGTTTCTGCAGCATCTCTGACGTGCATTTTACCTGTTTGTGGTGTCTAAAGGGTGTGTAGCTGTAATAAATCAAAGGAAAGTTTTAACATTGTCTTGTGATCAGTGATGCTTAAACTGTATTGGAAAAGAGTTCAACTGTTCTTGATGTGTTTGTTGTATTTGTTCTCCTGGGACGCTTTCAGTGACAGCATGACGATTTGTTTGTGTGTTAGACCAAAGCTGATCTGGAAAACCGCCTCAGGGCAGAGGATGCATTGATTTTTATGTCTAAAATTGCTTCTTTTCATGATTTCCTGACACACGTTGATCACTCACATGATGCAGGATGTGTGTCAAAAGCACCAGAGCATCGGCTGCCAAGCTTTAATTCCTGTTTCCATCACCAGGTGACGATGCAATGACCGGGGACACGGACAAATATCTGGCCCCGCACGACCTGAGGGAGCTGGGGGACGACTCTCTCCCCCAGGAGGGCTACATGGGCTTCAGTGTTGGTGCACGCTCACAGAGGTAAGGCTCGCTGTGAAATGCACCAAAGTGTTTTGTCTTTTTCCTGCAAAAAGAGGCCACATTCACAATGAAACACTTTCCAAGACTAACTTCTTTAGCAGTTTGCACAGACCTTGTCCACACGGACATGCAGTTTTTCTAAAACTGTTTTTATTTGTCGTTTCTGAAAATATCCTTGTAAGCACTGCACAGTTTGTAGAAATCTCTTCATCCACACGGATACTCCTGAAACAACCTTAAATGACCCAAAACGCTGGAGTAGCTATGCTAGGCCTATCTTGATATTATGTGTACTCCAGAGGTGAATCCTTTAATTTTAGGGATTATTTTTCCCCACAAATTAGCTTTCAGTTGCAGCTCGGTGAGATACCTCCTTAACCAATACATGCAGTTCCTCTTGTGCTTGTTCTGACTGGCTCTGCCAGATTTTATTTTTTTTATTTGTTAAAAAGCAGAAGCTTGTTGGTCTGTTCTCCAAGAAGCTCTGTGATCCGTCTGAGCACACTGCGGCTACATGTTTCCAAACAGTTTGGAGAGTGGTATGTCTGTGGCTGATGTAACGATTTACAAGCCAACAATGAAAATATAAATTTGATTACTGCAGCTTTCACAACTTTTCAAGGGCAGCCTTATTGGATTTTGAGGTTGGTGTTGGTCAGGAATCTCCCCCTTTGAGGTTCGAGAGCGTTTCAGTTAAATTTTCCAACTTGGAAGTCTGAAAATCTGCCAACTTCTGACAAATATAATACAGTATTTTTTATGTTTTATCTAATGGGAATACTCAGAAAAGATGTGCTTTTATCATTTTATTGCTACTTGTCTTTGATGCATATTTTTGTATTGATGTGCTGGAATGAACCATAATTCAGATGTCGAAAGGAGACATTTTAGGACATTTAAGTACTACTGTGTTGAACTTTATTTATATCTGTCTAAAGCTTTTGATACTGTGAACCATGACATCTTGTGTCGTAAGCTCTCAGTTAGTTTCTCAGATCACACTATCGGTTGGTTTTCCAATTACCTCTCAGATCGGAGACAATGTGTTCAACGTAATGGTACTTCTTCCAGTTTAACTGTCAACAATGGTGTACCACAAAGCTTAGTCTTAGGACCCACCCTCTTTACAATCTAGATTAGTAATGTAGGTCAGTTCATTCCTGACACATCCTTGCATTTCTATGCCGACGACACAGTTGTTTGTCGAGCTAAATCATATCAAATCAATCATTTCATAACGTAGCTTGTTTTTATTTTGCTTTACATCACCACTTTTATTTACTTTTCTTTTTTTTTATGTTCATCTGTGGTTCTTTTGTTTAAAACGGGTCTCATTTGAAAACGAGTCCTCGTGACTCAATGAGACTAACTTGTATAAATAAAGTTCGAGTGAATTGACCCGTCCCGGCTGTTTCTGGATAACTGGTTCTACTTTACCAGCACTCACACAAAAAAAAAAAGATGGGAACTTAAAGCAGTTCCCTCGGTGACTTTTTGAAACAACTGCAGGTTTGTATCTGCCTCGGTTAGAGTTTGCCTCGTGTGGGTGTTGGACTTTATTCCCTTTTGAAATTATTGACATTCATGCAACATGGTCAAGAAGGAGGGGCGATTGAATATCTGAGGGCTGACGTAAACGGACACAGAGCCACAGGAAATTAGAAACACGTTCGATTCCATGGCCTGGAGCGCAGGGTTGGGTTTAATCAACACGCTTACAGCTGGTTTAGCCAATGTGGTCCAGTCGGGGCACTTCTGTGGGGAGATCATTTGTTAAATTTTAATAAATGAAGCTGAATTTTCAGAATATGTTAAAATCCAGTTTCATTGGACACTTGTCCAGATATACGGGATCGGGCTACATCAATCTGAAAATAGAATTTAAATCTTGTTAAATTGAACGTTTCATACCTGTTCAAGTCTTGGCAGGGAAAGCAAAGTGACCTGTTGAAGGTAGTGAAGCTTTCTGCTAAAGAACGTGAATCGTTTTGAAAATAAAGAGGCAGCAAACTCAGTAAAATCCATGCATGCTTGAGGTTTTGTTGCATTAACGTGGCAGAAGTTCATGCTTTTATGATTCAGACTCGTTTTATTTTTGTCTGCGTCTAAACTGTACATCATTTCAAAGTCTGTCTTAAAATACCTTCCCTTTATTTCTGCTGTAAATTAATGAAACCTACGTGCTATGAAGCCATTGTTAGTAAAATATCTGAGCACATGTTCTGAGTTTCAGTCGAGCATCATTCTGCTCCCCTGCTTCTCTCCTCTGCATCACTTCTTCCACTCCTCTCTGCTCATGATGTTTTATTCTCTCCTCATGTCCGTTCTTAACGGTAGTACCAAAGCCAGGTAAGACTCATGGCATGAAAACTCCTCCCTGAACCTCCCCTTCTCACCCATTTTCCTCCCTCATCCCTCCAAACTCCCGTCCCTGTCCGTTAATTGTCTAGTTCTGTGTAATGAAGATGTTCTGCATATTTCACTACTAACTTATTGATTTTGATTCATTGTTCAGTAATTTAACGATGCGTTTTGTCCTGTCAGATGTACACGTGTGGTTTGTGATGACGTTTCAGCCTCTTTGGTTTGATTTTGTGTTTGACTGTTTATCATTTATGCCTGGGTTTCTGTGGGTTTGCACAAAGTCCAAGCTTGGCATCATTTTGGTTCGTTGTGGAGTTTTGTTTTTATTTTTTATTGAGCTTCCAGGGACTCGAGCTGTTAAAGGTATACATGAAAAATATTTTTTTTATTTTGTATAATTTATGATGTATAGAGGAGGGGAAAACATACTGGTATATATGCACTGAAAAAGGACTGGTGAAAAAGAAAGAAATAATACAACCCCAAGTCCGACATGGAACGTTGTGTAGAATGTAAATAAAATAAAATGATTTGCTAATCTCTTACATTTTATTCACAATGAAACATAGTAAACATATCACGTGTTGAATCTAAGAAACTGTACCACTTTTTGAAAAATATGTTTAGTGCGGGGGTTTGCAACCTGCGCCTCTTTGACCAAAACCAACATGAAATGAAGTTTAATTTGTTTTTCTACCGACGACAACAACAAAGGCAAGTTTTAGCAGTTTTCTGTCAATTTACTACAAATTTGTGAATAATGCTAATACAAAGAGCACAAAATAATTAAACGGAGCAAATTAATTTATCTAACTTCCAGCCTTTCAGTGGGATCTTTCTGTTGAATCCACCAGAAATGATTTGAAACACTTTTAGGACAAGTTGCTTAGAAGAAATATGGTGAGTTAATTTAATGACAATAAACTAACAAAAATATAACTAAAGTTAAAGTAAGAAAAGTTTTTGTGTTTAATTTAGATTTACAGTAAATCACAATTACATATCCAACAAAATGGACTTTAAATGTATGCGTTACTTCAAAATAGGAAATTTAATTTTTCCACAAATAAGACGGACTCATAGGAGTTCAGTATTTTAATTCATATCAAGATTGGCATAAACTATATCCCCCCCCCCCCTTTTTTTTTTTTTTTTACACAAAAATGAACTTTTTTTTGTCCTTAAATGTAAAAATATCAGCAAAATATTAAAAACCATTACTTATTTTTGGCTGGAAAAAACCCCCTCCAACAAACTTGAAGCGGCCCATGAACCACCAGTTGATTTTCACACTTGTAGCAGGTTTTGTGGCTCTGAACACATTTATTTTAGAGTGAATGGGCAGAAATGGCCCTTTTTAATCAAAAAGGTTGCAGACCCCTGATTTAGTGGTTAATGGCAGCAACACATATTAAAGATGGGACAGGGCAAATGTTGGATAATTTAAATATCATCATCTCATTAAATTATAGCCACACAGAAATCCACAGAGAAAGACTCTTCTCTTCACATACATGGTTCTATATCCATTTATTAGTAAGTGGAAAAACATCCATGACCTTTACATCCCCCATCAGCAATATTTCCCGATGTGAAGCATTCCCCCTTCTTTTCACAACAGTCTGTAAACATCCAGGGGCAGAGCCATTCAGAGAAGCCGACATTGAACTATGCAATGATAACGGCCTGGATGGTCCCATTCATCTTTAGTACGCAGGATGTGGCGTCCATGGTTTCCAAAAATAATTTTGGTCCATTTGACGTCAGAACAGTTCTCCACTCTGCCTCAGTCCGTTTAAAATGAGCTTTGGTCCAGAAAATATTGTAGCAGTTCTGGATGGTGTTCACATACGACTTCTTCTTTGTCTGATAGAGCTTTAAGCAGCCTTTGAGGATGGCACAGTAAACCGTACAGTAAGTGTTTCTGAGCCCATGCAGTGATGTCCAGAACAGAACTTGTTGCCAATAAACCTAATTAGTTGCAAAATGTGCCTCCAGCTGTTTCTGATTCATATCATTTACTTTTACAGCCTTTTGTTGACCTTCTAACAACTTTTTGGAGATGTTTTGCTGCCATAACTCTTATTTTCTTCAGGGAAAAATGCCTTAAACATTTGTTTACTGTGTTCCATAGTGAATAAATATGGATTTAGGAGAGTTGCAAGACATTGCGTTCTGTTTTTTACCTACATTTTACGTAGCGTATCAACTTTTTAGGAATGGTGGTTGTACAAATAGACTGTGTTAAGGGTCATGGATCATCCTCAATGAAACAGGAAGTCATGGTATTTTACAAAAACAACTTCTATGCATGTGTTGGCTGCACAACACAACCTTGACTTTGGTGCACAAACGCTTTGCAATAAAAAGATTCATGTTCTGAGTGTCTAACAGATCATCTCTGCTGCAAAGACTAAACAAGTCAGCTTTTACTGAAGCTGGAAGAGGCCGCAGTTTGCACTCGTTTCTTTATCATCCCTGAAAATAATCATTCTCGCTTGCTTTTCTGAAGTCTCACTGAGATGACGTTCTCCACCGTGTCTGGTTTCTCCCTCTCATTATTAGTATAATGGCTGCAGAGACGATGCGGCACTGCTCAGGAATGCTTTTTATTTGCCTCGTAAAGATCATTGTAACGTGGAATCACAACATCTCAGGTTACAGGCTCTGACAAACACAAATAAACTGTCATTTATTACAATTAAAATATTTCATCATGATGATCAACACAAACCCACTCACTGTGCATCAGACCCTAAAATCTATTCTTTAAATACTTGTATAACATTTTATAGCAAAAAATGAAGTTTTCTTGTTTATTAATCAACCAAAGGTTATTTGAAGTAAGCCTGTCACGATAACAAATTTTGCTGGGCGATTGTCTCAGAAATTATTGCGATAAATGATAATATTGTTTGAAATTTTACAATAATTAGTCATTATTATAATTATATTATAATTAGTAATTATTGTCAAATTTAAGAAGAAATGTTGGACAATTTTATTTTGTGTGTAGTACCTTTTTTGACCACTGGATGGCAGTATAAGACTGAACCGAAGGATGGATAGTGAGGGAGTGAGCAGCGTGCCTTTTAAAGAAAATGGGAGGGAGGCCCCTTGACGTGACATGGGCTGTTGCTCTTCGGTTCTCAAAATGGTGGACGCTGTGTGTGGTTTGAACTTTTTAGCATAGCATTTGTCTTACAAAGCTTTTAATTTAAAACAAAAAGTAAAGTTCTCAACTTTTTTTTTTGCAGAGAAAAACAACTTTTTAGATGAAGGCACAAGTTTCAACCGTGAATTTCGGAGCTTCGACAAGACAAAGGTTTTTTTCCCCAAAGTCGGCCTGTTAGCTTAGCTTCTCAACTTAGCTGCTTTTAATGATCCAAAAACGCGACGTTGGACGATTAAACAGATTTTAAAGAGAATAGAGAAAGTGAGGGGTCAGCGAAGAGCTCTAATTGAGTTTATTTTTGTCATCCAGTGTCTTCAGTAGTGTTAGGAATAAGATAAAGATAAAGAGACACGAAGAAACGAAAAAGCCAATAAATGAAAATGAGGTCGATAATTTTCATTTATTATGCGATTAATTGATTTATTGTTTATCGTGACAGGCCTAGTAACAACAATTAAAATTTCCTTTACATGTGGATATTTTAGAGTTCAGGTTTGTCTTTGTCACAAAGTCGTAGTTTTTGATAATTTTTTTCTGTTTAGGGGTTATTTCTTGGGTACAGACAAGTTCCTGGAAGCTGCATGCATTTAATGTTTGTTTGTTTGTTTGTTTGTTTGTTTGTTTGTTTGTTGTTTCTGTTCACTTACATAACCCTTTACCCTCCACCCCTTACCAACTCCTCCTCCCTTCATCACTGTGTCTGTTGCCTTGGTAACCCCTCACTTCTACAACAACCACACCAAGCCTCCGATCCTTCAGTTCCGACAGGTCCAACACGCTGAACCGAAGCTCCTTCACAAGGGACAGCATGATGATCGAGGAGATGCTGACAACCACTAAAGACGGGGTACGTACTCTGTGGAGCTGGCGGGCTTCTGAACCTGCAGGTCCTTAACTTTATCAGTGACACACTTTTGTCTCCAAATGTACCAAGCTGTCTTGGTGCTGAGCCAAAAAGGATGGCGCTTCACCAATCCTCTTCCACCTGGGGTGGTGTTGACATGAACGGGGCCTCAGATTAGCTCTTATTGCTTCCATCCAGGAAAGATTACTGCAATGGCCTACCATATTTTCAGTCTATAAGGCGCACTTAAAATCCTATAATTTTCTCAAAAATTGACAGGGAGCCTTATAATCAGGTGCTTATGTATTAATTCTGGTTGTGTTTATTGACCTCAAACTGATTATGTGGTTATTGTGAATGAGTTGAATAAAGTTTGACTTATCTGACCGTTTTGTTTTGCTTAATGCATCTAATAATCTGGTGCACCTTATAGTCTGAAAAATACAGTACTTTATTTAAATAATTTGAGGAATAGTTGAGAAAAATATTATAATTAAGACTTTTTGACTTTCAGTGCTTTGTTTTTAAAACTTTTAAAGCCTAAATTACAGGTTAGAGGTTTAGTTCAGGTCTTTAAAAGGGAGTTGCATTGGAAATGTTGTAAACTTTTAATGTATTACCTGAAGTAGCTTTAAAGTTAGGAGAAATGTAGTTTTATTGTCATGTTGGCGCAGTGGTGCCAACACAGAAAAATGGAGGGGAAATGGTTAACATATAGTGTCAACCTGATTCAACATGGCCACTACAGCAAATCCACCTTAGTTTGCACAAAAATTGATTTTTAACTCAACTAATTGCTTATTGAGCTAAATTCTGGTGTGCTATAGAAGCTGAGGGTCGTCCTCAATGCATATGTTTAGTGCTAACAGTAACGCAGCAGGTGATATGCATTCAAAAGTGCTGAAATTGTGTTATGGCCTCGGGTTTTGGTGGGCTTAACTGACCTCCATCTGGCCACTGCTTTGATATTTTTTTAGAAAGCACCCCTGGATTGAAAAGCTAATGGCTAATTAGAGTGGGGTCAAGAGAAAAGTACATGTCTTCTGATTTTAAATAACTCCAGTCGCAAAACATTTCAGAGCCTCGTGGGAATGCTATTTTATTAAACCATTTTACAGTTGTCAGTTTTACATCACATGGCTTTTAAAGCAGGAATATCATGACATTTCTGTAGGAAGTCCTCCAGGCTGTACCAGAAGTGCTACAGCTAGCTGCTGCTGCTATTTGTACTTGTTAAATGACCAAAGGATTACATTTAAATAGTGGTACAACGCAAAACAGACAGTAGGCTCTTTCACTAGGCATCTCAGGCCAGGACTTAGACGCCTTCTGGCCATCTTGGTAGCACTTCTGAATGGACTGAGGTGTAGAGTTGCACTTGAGTCCAAATAATCCGACGTAACCCGTCCCCGTCCCGCAGCCATCATCTCTGAACCCCACCCGATCCGACGAATTAACAGTAATTACAGGTCAGAACCCGAAAAACCCCCAACATTTTTAATTAAGCTTTGATTGCTTACACCGCCGACTATTATTAACGGTTGGCGGACGCTGAGTAAAGGGGCCCGTCCAGAAGATTGGAGCTGAGGAGCCATCAAAGCACATTAAATGCTTCTGCCTACATTGGACCCTGCTCTAACATGGATATTTTGTGATCTCACCTGTTTGGGTCATCGGCCGCACGCTTTCGCTGAGTGCTGCGACTGAATGAACGTCCATTTGGGCGATGGGTTGCTGGCAGTCGTCCATCTGAAGTTTAACAGAATTTTTTTACCCCTTTCAACTGGCCGATCAGAGCGTGGTCAAATTTTAAGAAGAAATGTTGGTTAATTTTATTTTGCGTGTAGTACCTTTTTTTACCACTGGATGGCAGTATAAGACTGAACTGAAGGATGGATAGTGAGGGCGTGAGCAGGATGCCTCTTTAAGAAAATGGGAGGGAGGCCCCTTGACGTGACATGAGCTGTCTCTCTTCGGTTCTCAAAATGGCGGACGCTCTGTGTGGTTTCAGCTCTTTAGCATTTTTCACACAAAGCTTTTAATTAAAATATCAGTAAACGAGTTCTCAGCTTCTTTTTGCAGAGAAAAACAACTTTTTACACAAAGGCACAGGTTTCAACCGTGAATTTTGGAGCTTTGACAAGACAAAGTTTTTTTTTCCTGAGTTCGGCCTGTTAGCTTAGCTTGTAGCGTAGCTTCTCAGCTTAGCTGCTTTTAACGATCCAAAAACGTGATTTTGGATGATTCAAACAGATTTTAAAGAGAAAAGAAAAAGGGAGGGGTCAGTGAAGAGCACCGGAGTTGAGCCTTTTGTCATCGAGTGTCTTCAGTAGAAAGAGAGAGACATGGAGAAACGATAAAACCGATAAATGAAAATGAGGTTGATAATTTTTAATTTTTGTTATTTTGTTTTGTCAAAGTTATTTTAAGATAACAGTAAACTTTTGGGGGGTTTAGCCCTGCCTGGACTAACCTGTCAATCAAGAATTAAACTCTATATGGCTACAGCAGGTAAGATATTAATTGTTCATACCTTTTCCACAGAACTCCACTTGAAAAGCAATGAACTATTCCTTTAGTGTTTCAAAACCAGCCTGTCCAGAAACGTTGTGGCCGATCACGACTCAACAACTTGTGAATTGAACACACCTCTGATCAGAAGCATGTTTTCATGAGGATATTGAGTTGTAATTTGGATAAAATAAATAAATTCTGCAGAGTAATGTGCTTGTAAGAGTTCGGCAGCTGAATAACAGCATGTTTCTCCTCACGCTGCTCCAGATGCTCTGTAAGGAAAGGTCTTTCATTGTAGAGAAACACAAAAAGGTAGATATTCACTGTGCACACCTTCAGCCAGCGCATGTCACGGGATTTTCATGCAAGTTTTATTTTTATAACTGCATAACAAGACTATTGTAAGTTGAATATTCAATAAATCTGGGGAGAGAGTTGTGATTCTGAGGGAAAATGGTAATTGGGCAGAGAAAATGAAAAAGAAAATCTCAATTTCCGGCAACAAAAAAGATAATTGTTTATAAACTAAACTAAAATGCACAAAATCCCTGAGATTATAAGGTCATAAGTCTGAGAAATGATTTGAAGGAAGCACCGCTTTGCCAGGTTTGTTCCAACAGATCCAGAAAGCAGAGCCAACCGTTTAAATTAATTAATCTAAAATACATACGCACTGTCCCCTCGCAGCTTTAAGATGAATAATTTGGGGATTTTAGACCAAAATCATAATTCCTAGTTGCTAAATTTGATATTGTTGATGAGTAAATCATATCAAATGAAGCAAATCGTAACTTGAATAAATGATTTATAGAAGAAATAAAGATGTTTATGAGTCTGATCCACAGAATAAAGTTCCCCAGTATAAATATATATTTTAGATTTCTCTTTATTCCTTTGACTTTGAGAACGTAGTTTTTTCTCAGATGATTATACTCTTCTCTCAGCCTTTACCCCCTCTGTTTTATCATATATATATATATATATATATATATATATATATACACACACACCATAATTTCTGGACTATTGAATGCACCTGAATATACTGTAAGCCGCACCCACTAACTTTAAGAATAAAATAAAATTGTACATATATGGACCGCACTTGTCTATAAGCCACAGGTTGTAACGTGATATTTACACAGAAATATATTTTTTTTTTAACTTTTCATTAAATACAAACCCCAACGCTACCAAGAAAAGTCACTGATCGCTGATCTTCATCTTCCTCCTGTGCATTAAAGCCACTAAAGTCGTCTTCTTCAGTGTCAGAATTGAACAGCCTCAGAAAAACGTCATCGCACTCGTCCTCGGTCTCTTTCGTTGTCACTCTCAACGTCACTTTTGTCTCGAGGCAAATTCGCTCTTGAGCTCGTGCTGTCGTCTTCGTCACGCAGCAGTCCAGCCTTTCGAAACCCGTCGGCGATGGAAGATTTTTTGACACTGCTCTGCTGTCAGGATCCACTGACTTGAACAAAAGCTGCTCTGCACATGCAGCCGGTTTTGGTAAACCATTTCTCACCGCTAGTGATCCCAACCTCCCGTTGAGCTCGGAGTGCCGCTTTAAATGCATGATTCACATTTACGTCGAGTGGCTGCAAATACTTCGTTGTGCCCGCAGGGATCTTGTGTTTCACGTGATCACGAGACGTGTTTTGGACAGACAGCTGTGTAAGCGCCCGGGTGTGACGAGGCTAAATGTTTTGGCAGCATGAAGCATGTTGGCCTGTAAAAATCCATAAATTATTGCATAAGCCACAGTGTTCAAAGCGTGTCAAAAAAGTAGCGGCTTATAGTCTGGAAATTACGGTATATATATATATATATATATATATATATA